AAAGAGTATATTGTTTCAATTTTATTTTTTTCATTTCAAACTTTATCAAGCTTGATGGAAAATAGTCAAATATGGACATATAGACAAATACTCAAGGAAGGGGTAGTATATTTATTGGATTAATATTTACTAGGTCGGATAAACATGGATGAATTATATGAACATAATTTACTCCCTCAAACTATAATTAAATTGCATGTTAACTTTTCTCACAGTTAAACTTCAATCACTTTTTTTATTTGATTTTGTAATTTGATTCGATAATATAGTCATTTCCCCATTACTTTTAGAATATGTAATTTTTGTATTTTAGTTCTACATCTTTTTTCATATTAAATGATTTGAAATGAAATTGAGTAAAATGTTGAAAACCAAAAACGGTGATTCAAATATTTATTAAGTTATGATCTATCATATAAATTCATTTTTTAATTTCTCATCCATCCACTTTATTTGAATCCAATTTATTTATATCATACCGAGTGAAATTTACTCATCGTTTCTTTAAAATAATAGTTAAATATTCTTATTGTGCAACGCACGGAAAGTGTAAAGATTTCAATTTGCAATAAAGACCTTAATTCCTTCATGTTACCAAATAACGAATGAAGTTTGTAAAAAAAACGTTTCAAAACTTATAACACTTCCAAAACTCCCTTTCTTTTTTCTATTTTTTCAATTTATATAATCTTTTCAAGTTTTTGTAACATTTTTCCTTATTCAAAATATTGAGTAATTATATGTCAATTAATAGCCCGTGCATCGCACGGGTACGAGTCTAGTAGTGTTTAGTAGTGTGGGAGGGTGTAAGAGAATTAGTTTAGTGCATGTCTCTCTCGGTTTTAAGCACACAAATGACACAATAACAATGATCTAATATAATCCTACCAAAATACAAAGTAAATTATTTGTTTATTATTTATAATTTCTCTCCCTTCTACATTTAAGCAATCTTTCTATCTCAAATTAAATTACTTGTTTACTATTCCGTATTTACATAGTCAAAGACTATTCATTTTTTTACCTTTTTATTATTAATTTTGATAAAATAATATAGTCATATTATCACTTGCTTTGTAGATCTTTTACTATAGTTTTTAAATATGTAAATTTTGTTTTGTTAATTCCACCCATTTAATAATTTAATTGAATTAAATATAATTTCAATCAAACATCGTAAAATGAAACAAAGATTTTAATTTAAGTCAGAAGGACTATACAACAACAACAACAACAACCCAGCTGAATCCCACAACAGTAGGGTCTGGGGGAGGGTGTGCGTACGCAGACCTTGCCCCTACTCGGAAGTATGGAGGCTGTTTCCAAGAGACAGAAGGACTATAAAGTAACTTAAATCATCCCACAATTTTTTACTAGTTCATTGTCATAACATATATGGAGTAAAATAGTCAAATCACTTGATGTTGGGGATAAACGAAGATAACGCGGATCATTTGAGAGTTGTATAGCACTTTCAGATTGATTATTGTGTTTGTTCAATCCAAAGATTAATTGAATAAAACTCAAATTTATCTAGAACAAGTATGGATTGATATGAATTTTCAAACTCTGCTTTTTGCGACCAAGGATGTGCGGAATCTATAGAGCCGCGGAAGGGAAGAAAGGCTGCGGTCGAGTCTCCCATCTAAAGCATGCGTCTCCTCGCGCGAATGTGAAGAAACAGGCTATGTCTTTTTTGAAAATTTTCCTTCAAGGAAAATTTGAAGATTAAAAGTTCAAATAAATTTTTAACATAGCAATTTATCCAAAAATTCAAATTTAAATGAATTTTTAATATACACAAAAGTTTACATACTTTAATATTCGAATACTTTAAAATTTAATTCAAATTTTTTGATGATTATTATGATATCATTAGTCAAATAGTTTTTCCAATTACACTAAAATATACTCCGTATAACACTTGATGCATGTTTGGTAACCAAAATTAGGATTTCAAATCTAAATTTGGCTCAAATTTCATGTTTGGCAATCTTAAAAACTTGGATTTAGATTTGATGTAAATTTTCCTAATTCATCAAAAAGCTTAATTTCAAATCCATATATTGTCATTTGAAATTCAAGAATTCAAATTTAAAAATGAAATGCAAGAATTGAAATGAAACACTAGCTTCCAAACACTACCTTAAAAAATGCAAAAACCCACTCTTTGATAGTGATAAGTAGGCACATACTCCATAAGTATTTCAAACTTTGAAACACCTTAGCTTCTTGCACCATGTACCACATTCTATCTTCAACTACTACTACTACTATTCTATGTTGATATATATATAACCAGTACGAGCAGAGACATATAGGAAGATTATAGCTTTGCCTAAGAAATTCACAGCTAAAATATATGACCCAAAAAAAACACGAGCATTCGGAGTAACATTATAGCAGTCGCTCCACCCTCGGTTATAAGACGCCGTAACTATATATCTATTTATATTCCCCTCCAACTCAAACCTGGAACCCGAAAATCTAATCATCCGGCGTTGAGGAGTCAACCAATCAGCAAAACTTGGCAGACTTGAATGCAAGAGGGTACATGAATGTGTTTGAGTATGTGAATCTGATCATTTGGCTGCTCTTCAAAGGTTTCCCTTCATTGACCAAACAGTCGTCGTAGTCCAGCCTCTTAAATGCGTTCGGATTCACTATTCTTGCCGAGGCAAACCAGTCGCAGTGGAGGTGAATGTTGGAAGGTGCACACCCAGAAAAACACGTGTTTACTATCTCAACTACATACTCTGGAATCCCTGTCGTCGAATATGTGCTCTGGGAAATGCTTATATCCTTGTTTGTGCAAGATCCTAATGAACAAACAAATAATCATTCAAATGGGATATTCCAATCTTTGCAGCATGCATATATTCATCAAACACACTGATATTTACCATGGGCTAAAATTTTTCTGTGGCTCTTATATGTGTTCACTGGTTTCATAATTGTGGTTGTGTTGTTTCCCTCTCCCTGGGATTGGTGCAAAAACTTTCCTGCAAAAGTAGGTTCAAATAAGAGGGGTCACATATAATTTAGATGCAAAAGCATCTGTGTTTGTTTGTGTAAAACAGCCCAAAAAAACTTGTTGGATACCTGTCTCCCTCCATTGAAGTCCAAAATGACAGATCGCAATGATGATGCCCAAGGAGATGCCAGAGAGGAGAACATAGCGATAGTTCATTGGAGTGAAGAAGTAGCTCTCCAAGTGTGTTTCTTAGAACCTGTGATAATAAAGGAAAACTGTGGAGGTTTAAGAGATAGAAGAGGAATATATAGAAGAAATAGCTTGAAAGATACCACTCTCTTGTTTTTCAAAGCAACAGATCACAATTATTTTACAGATATGGTATGTGTTTCAGAAAAAGAAGGAACATCTAGAGGATTCTTCTCCCATTATTTATTCCTTGCCTTGCTTATTATTTACTTTATAAAAATATTCTTGCCATTTATGGTAGAAAATATTCTTTCCATTTAAGTTTTCATTCTCTCTATTTATGCAGAGAAGCCTAGAACAAATCATACAAACAAATACAATAACCTCTAGGAATCCAATTGTTCTCCATCAAAATTCACACTAATTCCTGTCAAATTACAAGCCTAATTTTTTGGCTGAGAATCTGAGTTATGCTCACTAAAAAATGCCAGAAACAAATGGCTAAGCAAAGTATGAACATCATACTACAATGTGGGAATAACAAACTAAAAAGTTAAAATGCAGCTATATATCCAAATAATCCAATGAATTCAGCATTTTCAGAAGCAATTAATTGATGGAGTTGTAGGGTGCATTTGAGAAAGAAAATAGTATATATGTAAATGTACATCCCACTAAGAGAATGACTATTGACTACTCTAAACTTTTCAAAAGCACTATTGCAGACCCTTTTGGTTCATTACACACTCAGCCATTCCAGTTAAAGTAATTATTAAACCATTTTACATCAAAATTTTTAATCATTTTCACTGTTCATTAAACCGGGACATGGTGATGTTTGAATCATGAACACTAGAGAGGTTTGGAAGAACAACACCCTTAATCCTGGAGTTTTTATGGTGTTTGGGACCCTAATTCCAAAAGAAGCCTAAACACATGAGAATGAATGGGGATAGAACTCATAATCTCAATAAAGTCTTAAGGACTCAAATACCAGTAGTTTATATCTTATCCATGTGGAGCCATATGTAGGGGAGAGAACTCCCCCAGTCCCACAGCTGCAGCATGATGGCCTAATTTCAAAAGTAGGTTGTTGAGAACAGCAAGCAGAGCAGAGGGAACCCGGGACCCCGGGGTCCTATAGGGTTGGACGTTAGCCCTCCCCTGTCCAATCTCACTTTTGACTACCCTGCCACATTACACATTCCGTACATCTAAAAACGAACCCTAACCAGACTCAAAAAAACTCCATTGAAGAATCTCCATCCCAACAGTAAAATGCAGCTTTCATAGAAATCACAGCATTTACACAATCCGAACGGATATTTGAACGATAATATGCAGAAACTCACTCGGCATTTAATCGAACCTGAGTAAATACAGAGAGAAAACAAGCATAACATCGAAATACAACCAGAACAAACAGATCCTAACATTTTCAAGCCGACATCACCGCCGTGCAGCGGAAAAAAATCCACAAAAAAATCGCAACAGGAACGGGAAAAAATTGCAGAAATCGCTTAAAATCGCAGAAAAAAGATGAAACTAAATATCCAAACGTATCGCCAAAAAAGGCATCCACATCCACATCCACATCCAAACACCATTGAAGACAAAATAGGAGAAAGGCACGGAGACGGGAACAGTAAACCTACTATTTGGCGAAGGATTCAACGGAGAAGGACGGAGCCGACAACCGCAGCAAAAGGAGTGCGAGCTTTTTAGGCGGGAAAGAGAGGTGCAGATGAACAGCAGAAAGGGGGGAGCGTGGGCGGAGATGGCGACCTGAGAGAATGAGCCAAAACGCAGTTATACTATATGGTGTACGGAATAGGAATAATAAATAAATAGACCAAGGGAGCTGAGGATGATGATGATGACTCGTGCTTGCTAAAACCATGACTCATTAAATATTTATTCCTTATTGGATTTAGGAAATTTTTTTGGTGAGGGTAGAAATATAATATGAATTCTAAAAATTAAAAATAATACTAATATAGATTCTAAAATCTAAAATAAGTTGTTTGGTGAGATTAAGATCATGATTTAAATAATGATGAACAAAAGAAATGGCATGTTTAGGAATAACGTCAAAAGTTAGCGTTAGCGTTTTGAAAAGGTTATCTAAAAGTAACATTTAACGTTAACATCTTTAAAATTAATCTGCACCATTAAAATTTCATCTAAAACGTTAAAACTAATCGAAAATGTTATTCTCAGATGGGCCCTAAATCACAGTGACAATAATAGCGGATGCGGGAGTGATCGACGGTTGAGGAATCAAAATCTCTCATTTTGAAAGTTTGTGATATCAAATCTAGATTTTTTTATGATTCATCAAGCTCTAAAAGAATATTTTGATATCGGCTATTATTAGAACCCATATATCACGAAATGGACCCTTATTAGTAATATATAAAACTAGGCTCACGTCAAATTCGATATCAAAGTTTGATATGATATATTTTATAACATACCAAGTTTTTATTTCTTATTGATTTACCGATTTGTAAATAAAATAATTTTAAAAAGTGTGATAATTTATCTCGTTAATCCCAATCTGTAATGAAATTGGGGACGGATGGAATATTTAAGAACACTAATGTCTCCTAAAATTGACCCAACGAAATGTATACAAATTTTTTTTTAGATTATTACCATATCACAAATCAAAATAAAGAACAAAAATGTGTAACAAATAGAGTAACAATTTGCCAAATAAGACGTTACAACAACCTTATAAGGGGACCAGCAAAAGAGAGAGAGAGAGAGAATGATTATAAAGAAAGTGTACAAATGAACCAACGTGTGGACAAATCCAAATCTTGCCGGTGGCATGGCATCATATCCCCACGCTCTCTCCAAAAAAAAAAATGATTATTTCAAAGATTGGATTTTCTGCTCTCAATTTAAGGAATATCGAGTATTTAATTTGCTCCTCCTTTTTTTGTCTTACAAAAATCCAAAAGGAAATGATAATTTCAAGGATGAATGGTTCTATTATGGTTTTCAGTTTCATATACAAAATGTAAATATTCTCACATATTTTTTAATAAACTCATAGTTAGATCTCCTAATTTGATACGGAGTACAAAAGAAATCGAGTAAAATATAGAGAAAGTATGTTTTTATTTCCTAAGTAGAAGTTCGCACTATAGTAATGTACTAATACAGTACATGAGCATTTTACTATGCTTCTTGGTAATGTAGATTGGCATAATTGGTAATTTAAATGTATTTTAATTTTTATTTTGGGAATAAACACATGAAACTCCTATCTTAGTATTTTTTTCAAAGAAAAAATTTCTAAAATAATCTCAATTTTACCTGGTCATTCAAAAATAACATGTGATCCATAATAATCCCAACTCTACTAAAATTTGCAAGTTTTGGGTCCCCGTAAAATTGCTAACAACGAATTAACATAAATGGCTTGTTTTGCGCAGCAAAATGAAACTTGAGATTATTTTTTTGAAGTTTTCATTTAATTTTTTAAAATTATTTTCTACCTCCATTTCTTTTTTTAAGATTAGTCTTACTTAAAAAAATAAAAATAATATATATAAAAAATAAAAAATAAGAAAAATAACTAAAACAATACAAAATTAATGAATCAATAAGGTAATTAATCAATAGAAACTAACTTGAAACTGATAAGAAATAAAATAAATATATATGTGAGTTTTAACATTTAACGCACTATGCAAAGTCTTAATGTACTAATTATTTTTTTCAAAGAATAGGCCGGCCGCTAGAAGTAGGAATTATTCTAGATATTTCTTAAAACCTACCACTTCGAATATTTTTATTTTATTTATTATTAGTTTGAAGTTAGTTTTTATTGATTACCTTAATTATTTCATTAATTTTTTATTTTTTTAGTTAGTTTTCTCATTTTTCTTATTTCTTAAAAAAAGAAAAAGAAATGATGAAGGTAGAAAGTAATTTTAAAAATTTAAATAAAAATTTCAAAAAAAATTAAAAAACGAAAAATCATCAAAAATAATCTCAACTTTCATTTTATTGCTTAAAACAAGTATTTCTGGTAACCCGCCGTTCGCAACTTAATGGCAACCCAAAGGGAGAAAGACCAAAGTAGGACTAAAACATTAAAAATATACCAAAATAGGACTTCCATTTTTTTATTCCCGAAATAGGACTTACATTATCAAACATGGTCATATACATTACCAAAAAAGTATAGTGATGTGCACATGTACACTGCCATATTACCACAGTGCAAAGTCTTATTTCGGGTAAAAAACATGAAAGTCCTATTTTGATACTTTTCTCTATGTTTTAGTCCTATTTAGGGTGATTTTTACAATCCAAAACTCACAAATTTCAGTAAAGTTGGGATAATTATGCATCACGGTGAAATGTGGAATTAATTTCGAACGATTGAGTAAAGTTGAGATTATTCTGGATAAATTTTCCTTTTTTCCAATGTTTTCTTCTTACTTTAATTTTTTGCTTTTACACAAGAGTCATTACATAAAATCATTTTATGTATGAAGATCCATAAAATAAGTATAGACCTAAGAACTATAGAATAATTTAGATTTTCTACTTTGAATTTAAATTTGATTGTCGCCAAGGAGGCTTCAATTTTCTCGATCGACCGTTTGACCGGTTTAGTCTAACGGCTCGACCGGTCATGGATCAAGTTGCTCTTCTTTGATCGATGTTCCTCTTGGTTCAACGCCCTTCATATTGAAACTATCTTGAATTTGTTTGGCTCCTACCCTTGTGATGGCGCCTCCATGTATGTTAGAGTCATCCATTACTGCCTTAAAGTTTTTTTTTTACTATTTTAATTTTATTATTTTGTACTCCCTCCGTTCTCCATAGATCTTCCCAATAGTCCTTTTTCTTTGTCCACAATAGATCTTCTCATTTCATTTTTTAACAATTAAAATACCACAACTACCCCCACTTACTTTATTTATTACACCTCACCCAACTTATTTAATACACTCCACCCATTTTTCATTAAGGGTATTATGGTAAACTTTCACCTTTTTTCAACTCTCCTTAAAAATCACCAAAAGTCAAAATGAAAACATCTTAGGGGGACGGTGGGAGTATTTCACAAGAGTGAATTACTAGTCCCACCTTAGGCAAATATTGTAATACTGATCAGCTAACCGGGTTGTTACTAAATTAGTATCCAAACACAACTCATTTTCAAAACAGTTTAAAATAAATAAACTCAAGATATAATTTCAAACCATCGTCGGAGTACTTTAAAAACATAGTGCAGAAGCTTAAGTCATTATTCAAAACAAACTTGGGATTCAAGCTCGTAAAAGTAACGAGTCTTTAATTAATAAATAATAATTCAAAATCTTCAATCACATCCACGTGCATCTATTCGCCTTCATCGCCCTATGAGGCTGGTTCCAGGTTCAGCCTGATCTTGGTTGCCTAAGTGCAGCAAAAGAACAAATGCTACATTCTCAGTATTGAAGGTAAGTGAGAAATATCTCTTCGTCCTCATCACCAAGTAATGAATCTTACGTGCGATCTGAACTGTCACTATTTTTGGATTAAGTATTTAATTAAATTAATGTTCGAATTAAGTTTAAGTATCACAGGATAATTTTACCCTTTTGGTTGTATTCTTGGTCAGCATATTACAAAATTGAATGATTTGGGTGGATAGCAAAGGTAATTAATCATTAATTTGAGTTCGAGCAATTTTGTCGGTAAAATTTAATAGCTACTCGTACTATTTTACTCCTAATTCTTTGACGAATTTTATTTATAACATTTATAACAGCTTTGACAAGTTATCATTGGTTCATGCACAATTGCACACGGGAAAGAAAGTCTTGTTCTCATTTAAGTTATTCTTGGTTATTACTCCCTCCGTCCTATATCTTTCTTCCCGTTGTGCAAAACGAAAAAAAATCCCAAGTTTTTTCAATCTATTTTATTTAAATATTGGTATAGAAATAAAAAATAAAACATACATATTTAAAAACTACATCAAAAGTTCAACAAAACAAGTGGTGACAAGAATATTTTATTTTATCATATAGGCCATGAAAAAACACAAATAAATATAAAATCCCGTGAAATTGGAATAGTGCTATGGGAAGAAAATTTTAGGACGGAGGGAGTACTAATTTTTATAGAAATTAGATGAGATTAAATTGGAAACAGCTTTAAATATAACAGTAATCATTCGATTCATTTCAAAGAAGACCTTATCATATGGGAGAAAGACCAAAGTAGGACTAAAACATTGAAAATATACCAAAATAGGACTTCCATGTTTTTATTCCCGAAATAGGACTTACATTACCAAACATGGTCATATACATTACCAAAAAAGTATAGTAATTTGCACATGTACACAGTACACTCCTACATTACTACAATGCAAAGTCACATTACCACAGTGCAAAGTCCTATTCCGAGAAAAAAAACATAAAAGTCCTATTTTGGTATTTTTCTCTATGTTTTAGTCTTATTTAGGATGATTTCTATTATCATATTAGACCTCAATAAAATCAAATTTGATCTAATCAGATAAAACAATGAGAGCAAGCTCTTACTCTTGTTGATGAACAGATGTTTGGGAATAGCGTTTCCGGATCCAATCAGATAAAACGAGGAGAACAAGCTTTCACTCTTGTTGATGAACGAGCATATTTGGGAATATCGTTAGCGTTTTGAAAAGGCTATCTACGAGCAGCGTTTAGCGTTAGTGTTTTCAAAATAATCTTTACCGTGAAAATTTTATCCAAAACGCTAATCTCTAACGTTATTTCCAAAGAGGTCCAAAGA